CAAATATCTTCATTGGGTGTGAGCACATATCCTGTATGGGCCAGGTTGTATCAAATGTTCCCACATTGTCATATATATATGTGCAAATTTAGTTACTGGATCAATCTTAGATTTATCATGGTTGCACAGCGGCTTGTCTAGAAGAAGTTTTTGATTGTGGGACTATACATTTGCCCATTAACTAATTTTTTGGGCATAGATCATGCTTGCACATTTAAATTACAGTTGATGAATTAGTGCATGTCTTGAGTTGTCCTAGATAAACAGAAGAACATCAGCTACTTAAAAGCATATCAGAGAAAGAAAGCTCATCCATCAGTTACTTAACGATATGGTCAGGTAGGCTGAAACCAGATTGTTTTCTCACTGATAGTCTGTTATCGTGTCGACATTTTCCCCTTGTAATACTACTGAAACATCTTGTGTAATGAGATTTCATTTTTTTCTTACAAGTGATTGCTATTTGTTGCTGCTGCTGGTGCAGAGTTAATCATGCCTATCATGTGCTTTCAGAGGGATGGTTCTTGTGCCATGGAATACATGACTAGAGCACCCAAATATTTTTGTGTGGGTTGCAACAATCTAATCATTCTTGAATACATGTGACTATCATCTGCTCCGTTCCTGTGTGGTTGCAACAATGTGATCATTCTTGGACAACTTATAAGGATGGGTCAACTTACAATCAGAGTATGATAAGAAGGAACACATATGTCACCATAGATAAGCTGCTCTATCTGTATTATTTTTAGGTTAACTGTAATTCTTTTATATTCTGCAACTTATACATGTGGCTTTCATAGGACCCCAAGGTACTCAAACAAGATGCTCAAAGATTAACCAAACACGCTAGACAATTTGCTTCTCAATCTTGTACTTTGTTAAAAAAATAGTTATCGTATTTGTATAATGTATTATGCTTCGAGCCCTCCAAAACACACATTAGAAAAACTTTAAACCTGTAGCAATGCACGGGCAGAAAACCTATTAGAGTAAATAATGTAATAAGGATTTGTTTTCTATATATGGTATCATCTAGGTATTTGTTGATCATATCGTTCTGTTGGTTGGGTGCCCGTGTATTGCTATGGACAGAAAATAATACTATGAACAGCCTCTTTTACCAAAATATCTTTATCGCTGTTAGTGTCTGACCCTCTGACTCGGATTGTTCTTTGCAAGGTTATGATGATATTCCCAAGGAAATTCTTGACCCTGATGCAAAGATGGCGAATAATTTGCTTTTCATATAGTATGACATCACCTGTGATCAGATCATCAACAGTCATTAAATTTCACATATTTCATTACCTGGGATGATGAGGAAGATGGTGAATGGACAGCCCCAACCATTTATGAATCAGCAATATAGGAAGTGAAACTTTATTTAAATGATCATTTATGTTCCATGTGATCTTGAGTCATATATTCCTTGTTAGATTTACATTTCAAGAACAATGTCGTGTAACATATTTATATTTACTCGAATATTATATTTAAGTTTGTATATACGGCCGCTTGTGCATGGCGTTCATCCTAAACGCTTTATGGCTAATCGATTAATAAATTAAAGAACCGCGGACTGCGGCAAGCCGGCAACAAATGATGCCCTACAGGCAATCACGCCCCCCTATAATTACGATTTGCACGATATAAAACATTATCTTAGCCGCATCACCGAAATATCTATACAGTAGAGTTTGTGAGTCTGTGATGCCGTGCTCTATGTAACTGTGTTAATTTCACGAACTTTGCCTTTTAGATTAAATGTCACTTTAACATTGACATTTAATTTTACAGTATTGTTATCTTATCATGCGATCCGTGTGTTTTTAATACAAAACTTTAACTGTCCCGTAGCAATGCACGGGTACGAACCTAGTAGAAATAAAAGGAAGATGAAATGACTCTTTGTGCTTACCATTGTTTTGATTGATGCACAACCTCCCCGCCTCCCTCTATTTAACTCACTTCAGTATACAATGATAACAACATGTGGGCACATTGCTAGGTTGACATATAACATTGAAGATTTGGTGTGTCCTCATAGAGGAGCGAGGAGAATTTGGAAGGTGCCATAAGCCATATGATGGACATGGATGATAGATGGGAGTGCGTGCACGGTGTCAAACAAACGGACGATTGTTAGGAAGTCTTTACTTTTTATATACTTATTAGTTCATTATTTTTTTGTACAAAAAAAAACCCTTCCCATTTTTAGAGCCTAGCAAATATTAGTGCATTAAACAAATAGAATGCTAGTTGTAGCAATGCTATTTTGGAGTTTTATATCCTCTAGATAGCAAATAGCAGGAATTTAAAGCTTTAGTGCCTATAGAAGTATCATGCTGAACATAAAATTTACGGGCTTGCTAGCGCCCGGATGTTTGGACGGACGGGGTGTCTGGACGTCCACACCTGCAGTTCATTTCCCATGTCATTTTACGCACCCACGTGGGGCCCACGCCTCCCCAAACGTCACTTGCATCGAGAAGAGGGGAAGGGGGTGGCGAATGCCCAGCCGACGCCAGGAGGAGGAGGGGACAACGAGGGGAGGCAACAGAAGGCGAGGAGGGAGATGTAACACCTGATCTACTTTTGAAACATCCAGATGCAACACTTGCAACATACGTATGAAGACAGATGAAACATATGGAACATGCATATGAAACACGTGCAAAAACACTTGAAACCATATGTGTGAAATATATGCAACATAGGTATGAAAAAACATACGCAACATCCCGATAAAACACTTACAACATATGTGCGAAACATATGCGACATCCAAATAAACACACTTGCAACATACGTATGGAAAAACAGATGAAACATTGGGAACAAAAGCTTGCAACATACGTGTACAACCATTGCAACATATGCAACATCCATATGAAACACTTGCAACATACCTCTGGAACATTTGAAACATACATCTGAAACGTATGAAACATAGGAAGCTCTGTGCTGGTGCGGAGCTCGATGCCACGGAGGGCATGGAGGTCGCTGGTGCGGAGATCATCGGAGGTACGGACCTCGGCAGTGGCTTCGAATGACAGGATCCCGCCCACGACGCCACGCTTTGCTAGGCCCCGTCGGCTGCCGCACCTAGCACTCAGCTCCCAGGGCAGTACACTGGTCCAAGCACTAGCCTCTAGCTGATTTGGGACGTGAGAATGGACGGGGAAGGAGAGTGCACTGGGAGGGGCGCGAGCCGCTTGACGCTGGGAGACAGCGTCTGGTGTCGGGCTGCGGCGGCGGATTGCGATTCGCGGACGGTGCGGGCGGGTCGCGCGCGGCGCGGTTGGGTCGGGGTCCGTTCTTCATGGATAGACGCCTTGAACCAAGCATTACCGTAAAATTTATCTCTAATTAAACCTTTCTGTGCAACTATTGGCTTATAGTACATCTTGATCATGTCATTGATCACTAATCCTTCTGTAGCATAGAAATGGTATGTTATGCCTAAAACACATCTTTCAATGTTATTGCTCCCTCGTATTGAATCTCTATAGGTTTGCCTATTAACTCATTGTGGCTAATGCACATTAGTGTCTGATTGCAGTAGTGGGCATTCCCGATGATGGTTGATAGTGTTGGCGGTTGATGTCAGTTCACAGTGACAGGGGCCATTTGCTTCCTAATTGTGAGGACGTGAAGTTTTTGTGCGCCACAAGCCGGCCTCCACCATGTATTACCATAATTTAATCTTGTTAATGTATGGATTGCACACTAGTGAGGCTGTGCTAAAATGTCATAGAGAGGATCTGAGGATGCTTTTCTCAAAGATTGGATTGGAACAAGGCTACATATTCAAGGTTTCAATATTTACACCCATTGATAAACTACACATTTCATTAACAATTTATGTTTCTTGTTATCGAGATGGAACCAAGAGCATACTCATGTTATGATTACCTAAATACACCATTTGATGCTTCAAACTTGTAGTTAATGAAAGAAATGGCACCAGACACAGGCAGTGAACATTTGTATAAACTGGTTGCATGTAAATGTGAAGCTCATGTCATATAAGCCACACAAATTGAGTAAAACAGAAAGTTGGGCACTCAGAAGAAGAAACATGATCATGTTTCTACCACCAACACCCCCCCAAAAAAAAGAAGAAGAAGTTGGCCAGAAACGAGTCACATGCACTTCTCCACAAACAATGGTAAAGGCAATTTTTTTAAATAAGAACTATGTGGAAACTATTGGCTGAATAAAATAGAAGTAAAGAATGTTCTTAATCACATCCACATGTTACAAAGAATTAAAGATGACTCTAATTGATAAAAAGAAGATTAACCAGAAGAGAAGGAATCCAAAAGGCAACCTTCTAAATGTAAGTAATTTCAGGGCTTAAGAACCAACAACGCTTCACTAGACAAAGGTGCAGAAACTCAGGACTAAAGGGAGTAACTGAAAACAGCCAGTAAAAGTAACTGCTACAAGAAAACCATGTGCGCCTTTTCTCCTTACTAAGGGGGTGTTTGGGACTGCTCCGCTCTACGTTTTTTAGCTCTGCTCCACGTTTTTTAGCCAAACAGTTTCAGTTCCACGCACTCTGCTCGAGAAAAAAGGGTGGAGTTGTGAGAGCATCTAAAGAGGTACTCCACAAACTCCAGTTTTTTGTGGAGCTGCTCCACAATAGAGTTTGTGGAGCAGTACCAAACAGCCCCTAAATAAAACAGGACTCCGTAAGCTGAGATCTGGCCGAAGAAATCCATGTGAGTGAACCACCTTTTATTCAAAAGTATCAACTGCTTCCAGAAATTCGGGGTAGCAACTGATGAAACTGATGACCTTGCGGGCAGCCACAAGCAACGAAAGGTAGCATTATTTTCTTTCACGCAAAATATAAACTTCAAGTAACACTTAGCTATAGCTATGTGGCCTATAAATAGGCCTAACCAATCCTACAGTTTTTGCAAAGCAACAAGCCCTACATTCAAAACAATACTAGTTTTTGGTCACTTAGTACATGGATATGGCACAAGATGGTATGTCCAAGAAGGTCTCATCACTGCTTGAGAAGAAAGATGCTGCCAATGAAGACCTAACAGCCATAAGGAAAGAAGCAGAGGAAACCAACACTACGATAAGTGTGGCAGCGCTGAAACGGTCCTTGATGCGTTACCTTTACATAATTTGCATTCCATTTTAGTAAAGTAGCGTTGATGTGCTCAGTCGAAACGGATGAGATAACGAACCTCATCTGTATTCTTTCCAGCATGGGTCGGAGATAATCTAGGCAGTTTACTTGATTGCTATGATTTTGTTCATCGACAGATGGACAGGAGGGAAACATTGGTTTCTGGAGAACGGAGGGAGTACATGTCAAAAAATAGGACCACACTGACCAGCATGGTGAAAGCAACACTTAAGAAGGTCGGCAAGGTGACAATGGAAACTTTTGATCCTAGTTCCGTAGAGTATTATTATCATATATGAATTGTCATGTAACAAATTATACCACTTGATCTGCCATATTGCAGATTCTGCGGAAAACTAAGCCCAGGAAGAAGAGAACTACGATGTATCCGATCGTAACCTCTACACTCAAATTTCATAAAGATGATGACGTGGATCCTGAAGATGCTGGATCTGCATGCTGGGGCTGAACAACAAAGAGACGGAGAGAATTATCATGAATGCACCTCATAGCAAGAGCTACCTTAGTTATCTATTAATTTGCTAGTACCTATTGTCATCTCAGCCTATCTGTCTTTTCATTATATTGTGTCGTCATGTCAGTCCACTATTATGTTGTACTCCTTGGTGCAAAATGAGTTATCATATAATTTGCTACTGAAAGAATTGATTGTCCATTGGTTACTCTTTAGATGATGGTGTTTTCATTATTTGAAGAAAAAAAGGTACATTGTAAGCAATAAAACATTGAAAAGATATGATGTTTAAAAGAATATGATGCATGCATGGATACTTAGATCTAACATGGAAAGTTAAAAATCCTCAGTGTGTCAAAGATAAGTCACTATATCAGGATGAGTTTACAAGTCAGGTGCGTTGAACCAGATAACTTGAACTTCTTTTGAATTTTCTAGTTTACCTTTTTGCATTTTCATCTATTTTAATGTTCTTAACTTCACTCTGCAGTTAAGTAACTATTTCGCATCCATAAATTATAGTCAACGAAATTTGTGTGCTATAAGGTGCACAACACGAATTAGTTGGTAGCATAAAGTTGCTGCTTGTACTTGTGGACTTGTTGAAGACGACTTGTTGGTGCAAAACATGACCACACAACAAAGTGCCAAAACGCGCGGATTGCATATAGATGAGGTTTCAATTAGCTCATGAAAACCGGACCATCTGGTATGCAAAGCTGGACCTTCCGTATCTTCAGATTTGCCAGAAAACCTACAATCACGAGCCTGGGAGGGATCCTGTCACAGTGGTTGCATTTAGGGTTGTTGTAATGTCAGGAAGGCTACTTAGAATACCTCAAATCCTTGTAGGTGTATCAATTGGAAGGGCATAAAAAGAAAGTCTTAATATTTCGGTGGGAAGCTATCACTGGTGCAGCAAGGCTTTTTTTGCTCCCGGTTGGGAAACCCCTTTAGTCCCGGTTTCCCAACCGGGAGCACCAATCCGGGACTAAAGGTACCCTCCTTTAGTCCCGGCTTGACGTCCGGGACCTTTAGTCCCGGTTGAAAACACCAACTGGGAGTAAATGGGGCCTTCAGGCCTGGCCAGGGACCGCCACGGGGCAGGACATTGAGTCCCGGTTGGTGTTACCAACCGAGACTAAATGTCCCTCTTTTTTTTTCTTTTTTCTGGTTTCTATTTTTGGTTTCTTTTTTCATTTAATGATTAGTTTTGATATTAAAATACAATTTCGAATACGCTGCTAATAGTAATATATATGTGTACTTCGCACGCGTAAGTTTTCGTTCGAACTTTGTACATAAATAACAAACGAATATACGCGTACATGCATATATATATGATGATCATATATACACACACGTTATTTTATGTACATATAATATGTGCATACATATATATATATATATATTACAAAGGTTTGATATATAAATTATTTATGTCCTTAGCAATTCACTCCTCCAGGCATCCACGTTTCGTTCGGGTCATTGTAGAACTCGCCGTTGGGGTTGATGACCTTATCATTTAGAAATCCTGCTATAGTCTCTCGAATTGCTTTAAGTTGGTCAAGTCGTATGACTCTTCCCCTCAACCATTCAATCTTCAATAAAAGTTAAAGGAAAAAGTATTAATATATATATATATGTATGTGTATTGCTCATGTAATTACTTATACAAATGAGAGCAATAAAGAAATTATAAATATATGATCGAAATAATATAAAGGAAAAAGCATTTATATACGTACTTTGAGTTGCTCTTCAGGAGTTCTCTTTGAGTACGCCATGATGAACTTGCAAACATAGTATCCGCAGTAGTTGTTACCCTGCTCCTGCCTTAGAACCCACTTTTACGACAAAAAAATCAATTAGGGTGAATTGAAATCATCATATGGTGTTAATTGAATATAAATGTGTAGTTATAGTACTTACTTTGTGTGCGATTACACCCAGTGGCGCTTTGCAATGTTTCATTTTTTGTTCCTCAATGAACCTTTTCCAAACCCTGCTCCCAATAAAATAAAAAATATTTTAACCTTTAATAATTGTTGAGAGATCGGCGCCATTATATATATATGTTGTTATAGAGAAACTAAATTAATTACCCTTGTATAATATCTATCATGTCTTGATACTCCGTTTGCGGTTTTCTCAACGAGTCTAAGATTTTCAATCTACTATTGGCCATATCGATGACCATCAATATCCAGTGATTGCTTATATATATATATATATATATATATATATATATATATATATATGTGTGTGTGTGTGTGTGTGTGTGTGTGTGTGTGTGAGAGAGAGAGAGAGAGAGAGGTAACTAGGTAGTAAGGAAATATTGATGTCCCATATATATGATCGACATTAATTACTTATAATAACACTCACTTGAAGTTGTAGGGGAAGAGTATCTCCTTCTTGTCGTGTTGGTTCACTAAGAAATTCATGAGATTTCTCTCAGGTTGAGGCTTATAATCCTTTGGGGGGTTAGGGTGTTTGTATACGACATACGGATCAACGAACCCAACATCATTATCCTTTCTTTTTCTAAGTTCTGTCATCTCATATTTGCATACATGAAAATTGTGAATATATATATTGTGAATATATAATAAAGAAATTGTTAATATAGTAGAAAATAATCACACTTATAGACAATAGCAGCTAAAGAGACTTTTGTCGAGAGAGTCCAGGTGGCATAGTTGGTGTAATTCTGGAAGCTCGACATAGATAATGTCATTGCCACAGAAGTAATGGTGGTTTCTAATTCTAACAGAAAGATAGATTTGTCCCGCATCAGACGCCGACATGTACCACCCGTTTAGCAGGTACATTTGCGTACCCAGTTCACCTAATTTCTCTGGGTTGTATAGACTCTGGCCTGGTACAAATTTCTTGTAAGGATCCACTTCCGGAGCAGATGGTCCTTCAGCGAGCACTTCGACAAGGTTCAAACCAGTGTCCTCATAAAACTGAAGAAACGACTCATAGCCGCCTACCTCCTCCACTAAGTTTAAGTTTGAACCATATTCGTTAGGAACGACAAGGGGGGATTGATTGTTGCGATTGTTGTCCGAGTTGTGCAACACCTTTCCCTACTCTCTTCTTTTTTTGCGCCGCCTCATATGACTTGGTGAGAGAGCGGTCATAGTCCGATATCGGTTGTTTCGCGGCGCTCTTAAGAGAATCCCGTTTTTTTTGTTCCAACTTCTTTCTTAGCTGATCTGGAGGTAGGAAGAAGTATGATGGATCTAGGTTCTCCCTCGCTCCTCGTGCCTGTTTTGCACCTTCAAATAAATCTGTCACTTCTTTTTGTACTGCATCCTTTAATTCTTGTTCACTTTTCTCATAAGATAGTTTTTGGGGAATAACTGGATGAGTATTTGCTTTCTGCTTCTTTGCGGGCAGGGCAACGACTTCATTTGCGGGGCGGACCTCTTAGGGGCTGGCTTCCTTGGAGGCGGGGGAGGCGTTGGAGACCGTCTTGGACGCAGTGCAGACTTTGGAGGTGGCGGAGGCGTTGGAGACCTCGGCGGAGGAGTTGTGGACTTCCTTGGAGGCGGCGGAGGAGTTGGAGATGGTGGCGATGCAGCAGTGCCTTCGAAGGCGTCATCATTGCCCTGAGCACTATGATGGTCGGGAGAAGCAACAACTGGACTTTGGTTGGCGGAGGCCCTGCTTTGTGAGTACAAAAAATAATGAGATATAAGTAAATGCTTATTATTAGTCATACCCATAGAAAATTATCAAAAAATTGTTTTGTTAACTTTTGTCCGCACCTAATGTCTACTGGCGGTGGAGCAGACGGCCCAGGGATAAGATGTAGCGCTTGCGCCATAGTATATATGCCTTCTCTGCTTCTCCTAGAGTCTTCTCTCCATCACCTCCAGGAATGTCAAGAGCTAGATCCTCATATCCTTTGCTCACTTTATCCACTGCGACCCTAGCATATCTAGGTTGTATTGGTGCCCCATGGATTCTTGGTGTCTTGGTAGGGTCTAGAGGAGTAAAAACACCAACAACGACCTTAATTGTGTCATTCCCCCTTGGAACATGTAGCTCAATTGATGTCATTGGAGTAGTGACATCATCCATGAGGAAGCGCAGCGCTGCGTCATCTTGCTTTGGCAGCTCAGTGGAAGCACAACTGCTTTTCAACTGACCAGGGGGGCTAATATTAACATTCATTCCTAGCTCTGATGCCTGCCTCTGGGCACTCATTGCTATCTGCATTTGCTTTCTGATTTCTTCCTGCATTCTTGCTTCCATTGCTTTTTCTCGCTCCTTTGCTTCAAGCACCATTTCCTCCAACATTATCACCCGCACTGCTTGCTCCTCCTTGCTTCTCTGGCGGCTTCGGTAGGTTTCCCTATCATTAGGGAAACCATGAACCCATGGAGTGTTGCGTCCTAAGCCTCTGGTTCGGCCAGTGTGTTCAGCAGTCCCGATGGCATACGTCAACTCATCCTTCTCTCTATTGGGCTTGAACACACCAATCTCTTTAGCTTCTATAGAAAAAGCCAATCGGCGTGCTGCTGTTTCAAGTTTTTGCCCATACACTGCCAGACCGGTCTGTGGGTCGAGTCTTCCCCCATGACCGAAAACCAATTCTTCGAGCGTGGGGGCCACTTGGCTGATTCTGGTTCGATCCCCATGGCAATAATGTCCGCTTCCATTTTTTGCCACTGCGGAATGGCAGTATCGTAGCCACCTGATCCCATGTCATGGTGGTATACCTTTTTTCGGGCATTCTCTTGGTTCCTTCTCATCCGTGCCTCACCCTCTGCTGAAGTCTTGTACTCTACGAAATCATTCCAATAGGGCCTCTGTTTCGAGATCGGGCCCGTAGCAGTATTGAAATTCGGCGTTTCGTTTTTCTTGATGTATGTGTTGTATAGGTGTTTCTTCCAAGTCTGGAATTGTGTGGCCATCTTCTTCATAGCCCACAATCGAACTAGCTCCTTCAATTCATCATCGTTGATATCGTCATAATC